CGTTCAACACAATCTCACCTTTGGATCTCAAAGCAGAAGACAACGCCCTCCAGACATACGTTTTACCGGTGCCGCCGTAACCATAGACGAAAAACATGCGGCCGTAGGTACATTAAACAGAGTCCATTATCGAGCCATAAACATTACGCTGCTCATCAGTCATATTGGCAACCAACTCCTGATTCTCAATAGCGAGTGCACGACGATCGTAATTCAACTCGTCCATCACCAGTCTGTTCGTGGATGCCTCATTACGGTCGAGATTAGGGAAAGGCATTGTACTGTAATCGCGTAGAGTCGAACCACATCTGCGCAAAATTTTTTCAATCTCCACCAATGCCAGATTCTTTACTTCATCATCGCTCAAAACCAATTCTGTAACAACAGTATATAAGATTATAAATATAAAGACATACTTCATGAAGGAAAAAAAAAAACATAATTATGTGACCGTAATTGATTTGTTTACCTGAATGCTGTAAAAGCCTCCGACGATTATATAATATATCATCCGAGAGGTAAGGCCAACATGCTTCCCACACGAACTCCGGTCGGCCGAGAGTATAAGAAGACAACAAAGTAGCAAAAAGGTTTCTCAACGAATTGGCACTCGACCACTGGCTTGCCTCGATAATCCCTTCAATGTACTCTTTGTCGTCCTCAACCAGACCGAGGGAAAAACACGCGTCACGATAAGAATCGTGTTGTACTCCATCCAACTTCATATAGTCACGATGACACGTTGCACCTCGAACAACGTTGATAAGACACCGCAAGTAATATATGTCACCAGCACCAGGGGGGACAAAGTACAAACGCGCGATACGGTCACTTCCTTTCCTAGGCTCCCAACTGTTGGTTTCCGAGTGCCACGTAAATTTGGTGGGAGCCTCAACATATGTCAGTTTCTTGGCTTCGGGATACTTCTTGTTCGCTTCCATCCAAGCTAAAAAATTGCTAGCGGCATTTTTATTTTTCTCAACCACTTCATCGATCGGAGCTTGATCGGGATAGTAGCACGGATGCTCGTTCTCGAGGTGAAAATTCAAGCGCTCCACTGATGGGTGCTTGTATTGAATCTCAAAATCCAACAACCGCCACGCAGCCTCACAAGATAAAACGTACCGACAATCATAGAACATCTTCACCTCGTCAACTGGGCTGCTAGAGGACTCATCTCCATTGGACGCATGGAAGATGGCAGTAACACGATCGTTCCCCTTGTTCACGTACTTGAACAAATATTTGATGGACCTCGACTGGTTGCACCACTCCATATTTATGTGCGCGCCGTACTTCAGGAGCAATTGTCTGTTATGAGGCACAACATATCTATTATCCAGGGGAATGCCATTTTTTACTATGGTCCTGCCATTATCACGACGTCTGTATCGTGGATAGCCTTCTTCGTCAAGGGTTGTGGTTTCAGAGAACTTTTTAGGAAAATGTTTCGTGCAACAATCGTTCGACATACACGGGGATTTCGGGCGAACACTCCCGCAGGGGCCGTGCATCATATGATCTCTAACAGCGGCATAGTAAAACGAATCGGTGGTCTCATCCGGTATCTCGGCAGAAATTATTTTATCTATGTCATCAGTAGTCTGTATCTTGAATTCCTTGGCAAGGAAAAGCAAGATATGGGCATGAGGAAGGCCACGCTTCTGGAATTCAATCGTGTAGATTGCTGCAAATAATTAATATTTATGTGAAAAATAATATAATGCAAAAACATAATATAACAAAAATATAAAGAAATTAATTACATAATAGTCAGAAGAAATACCTGCTTTCACATCTCCAAACATCTTGTTATGTCGAACATCCCTCATCAATGCATCCAACTTAGCCTTAAAAACCCGACAAATGATATCAGGACGATCCTCTGGGTTGAGGTTCCTCTCAGCAAGAAAACGACTAATTTCGGGCCACTTCGGATTGCAAGTGAAGGTTATGAAAATGTCAGGATACCCGGTCCAACGACAAATTGCCATTGCATCCTGATAGTTCTGAATCATATATCTCGGGCCTCCTGTAAAGGATGACGGAAGTATAATCCGTTTGCCTTGAGAAGCAGGATTTGTGTCACCGCGCAACACGGCATCTGAAAGTCGGCTATACAACTCAGTTCTCAAGTTTCCCTGATTAAAATGGATGTATTTGAGCCGAAATCCCTCCACCATTGTGTAAGCGTCCACAACAAACTGCTGATACAACCTCCGAGCAGAAAGAATTAACGACAATTCGGCATCCCTATCGTGCATCCGATATTTAAAGAACTCGTTCGGACTGATAAATTTCCTCGACCTCTTCGTAATAGGTTTTAGGGGGGAGAATGGAATGTCCTCCCTGTAACCATCCTCGCCGTATGGAAAAAGAACAGGATAATGGAGAGCCAAGTATGAAGCGTTCAACTCGTTGATCCGCTGCAAACGTCCGCTCTGATTTTCTACTATAATATCCCTGCTCCCCATAGCATCATCGAAATCGCCAACAACTAAGGCGGCGACTTCCGAAGTCGAGGGTAAATTATAACGTCGACCATCCTTGTTCCTTCTACCGATAAGACGCATCTTAACTTCGATTTGTTGGTGCTGGTTCACCGTCTCCCGAGTCATTCTAAACGACTTGACCAACACATTGTAATGATCGAGCATCTCTTGTAAACCACGAACTACATCCTCGTCAAGATTATTTCTTTCTGAACCTCTCCTGCCATTAAAAAAAGAATAGAATTGATTTAGTACAGAAAGTGTAAAATTGAGTGTAGTAAAAAATAAGTACTCATTTTTTAATGATAAATATAATATATACCTCACTGAAGACAATCGGTTTGAAACTTCGTTCTCTGTGTCATAGATGTACAATTGAGCAAATTTTGGAGAAGCACCAGAGTCGGGAAGCAAACTACCCATTAAATGGTAGTTCTGACCGTGCAAACGGAAGACGGGTGGGCCGGTTCCCTTGTTTATATCGGTATCAATTTTTCCACCCATTGATGTGAAACAAAACATATTATTGTAGGAACGAATGTTTTCTTGAAAGTGCTTGCTTCGGGGACCCGTCCCAAAAATAAGGTCACGCAGAAAGGGAGGCGGAGTGCAAACGGGTGGGAGTTCGATGTGTCCGTGGTTGCAGCAGCCAGAATACTTGGGGACCCTAGGTTTAGATGGCTTGCCCAGTCGCTCGGCATACCAAAATCTGGCACCACAATGAATGCAACGGAACGATGCATCGCCAATATCCCAATATTCTGCGTCATTATAATGTATAAATAAAGTACAAATTTGTCAATTAATGTAAATATTTTCAAAATCTAATGACAATAGGTAAAAAGACCATAAACAATTATTACAAAATAAATAAATTTAATAATTTTAAATAAATATTTACCATTGTTGATGGGTGCCGAAACGGAAGATATATTTTGACTACAAACATTTGTGAAGGTATGGATTGGGAGTCTAGGACGCCCGCCTACATAAGTCCGAGGTGGCAAGCTTAAAGGTGACACTGAAAGGCATTAAATAATTGATATATTTAATCAAGACTTAATATATAAATGTATGTGAGTAAAAAAATTATTTTCTAAATATATTATTAAATTAAACAAATTGATATTTTTTGAAATACCATTAGTGATGGGTCGTAAGTCGAGTCTCGGGCGACCGCCTACGTTCTTCCGAGGTGGCAAGTTTGATAATGAAACTGAAAAAATATATGCGAGTAAATATACATGAGTAAATAAAATTATTATTTTGTTAGAAATAAAGAAGTAAGATAATTTGATATTGTATTTTGAATTACCATTGTTGACATGGTTAACAAACATACTCGGTCTCGCATTTTCATCGTCGTCAATTGTAAGATCAATCAAAGGTACCGAACCGCTCGAAGAAGCATCTGCGAGGTGTGATACTGAACTCTTTTGAGACGATCGTTGAGAATTTACGAAAGTAACACCTAAAATGAAAGGTTAAATAAAAGTCACTAAAATAAAAACATATTCCAAAAAATATTTCTTATAATGACACAAGCACTTAAAATTTAAAAAAATCGAGAAAAATAAAAAATATATATACCGGATTGTTGAATAATGGAAGGCGCGTTAGTAGGCACTGGTGTACGTGCAGAAAAATCTAATGATGTACCTGCAATAATTGAAATACATATACTTGTATTTAAGATACAACACTTGTAAATTTATTCTTGTCAAACTAAATTTAAATCATTTCTGAAAAAGTAAAATGCATCAAACACAAAAAATTTATTGGGCCTGGTAGTTAAAAACTTACACCCCAAATTTAATAGTTGTGTAAAAAGAAATATTGGGTCTGGAATATAGCAAATTGGGCCTTTACTATGTAAATTGTTATTGTTATAGGCCTTTAAAATGTGAAATCCCGCAGCCCAAATAACATATCATTCTAGAATCTGTAAGATGTGCGACACGTTTTCGCAGTTATTTTAAGCGTCCTCCAAACCCTATCTGAGCCTTTACGCCATTTCTCTTTTTTCACTTACTCCGCCGCACCATTTTCGCTCTGCTCATTTCTCTTCTCAGATAATCGTCTTCTACACTTTTTCGCAGAGAATCTAGCCGAAAATTTTAATTTTACCGGCGATTCTTTCAGGTTTTTCGAAGATCTGTCGAAATTATACCCTAGTTTTGTTTACTTCGACCAGAAAGAGAGGTGGAGATATACAGATCGTCCAGTTTTTTGAAAATCGAAATACTGATTCATAGTATTTCGGTACAAAACTGGCGATAACATATTACATCTATAAGGATTCGACTGTAATTTATTATATATTTATTTTTTGGGTTTTAAAAGAACTTTTTGTTTCATTTTCCAAAGATTTAAGCCTTATTCAACTATGTTTTTAACAGATCTGTCAAAAAAAAATAGCACTTGATCTATATTTTTCGCTATTCAAATTTCTCTCTTCTCGAACAATCGTCTTTTACCCCTATCAGACAATCGTCTTCTCAGAAAATCGGTCGTTTTTGAAAACTGAACTACCGGGTCATAGCCTGTTCGGTACAAAACGGGCGATAGCAGCTTAGATCTGTAAAGATCCGAAGATACTTCAACATATTTTTTTAAGTTGGTGTAAAAAGAAAAACTTCGTCTGATTTTGAAAATTTTTAACGTCTTTTCAACATATTCTTAACAGATCTGAGAAAATCTTAAGTCATTGTGCTGTAATTTTTTTTTTCTACGTAAAAACAAAATTTCGTTTGATATTTCGTAGGTATACTATTTTTTCGCCTATTTTCTTAAAATATAAGTGAAGATCTGAAGTTAATAAGTTTATTTGATTGTTAGTCTGTTCTTAAAAACTATTTTTTTTTTGTTTTTATTAGACTATACATACGTTTATGAGTTAGTTTAGAGAGGTCTGGGGATGGGATGTTAGTATTGGGTTGGGTTAAAGTGGGCTAGGATTTGGTTGGCATAGTATTGGGCTGGGATGTGGTTTGGGAGAATTGTGGGCTGAGTTTTGGGCTTATATGTGGGTTGGTCTGGTATTGGGCTGGGATGTGGGTTGGAAGAATCCTGGGCTCAGTATTGGGATGGAATGGGCCTAGTGCGGGGTTGGGATTGACTGAGTAGATGGGTAGAAAGTGGCTGGGCTAGTATACTTACAGGTTTAGGAAATTTAACCTTTACTTTTAGATTTGGATTGTAGTTAGGTTTAGGGTTAGGAAATTCATTAGGTTGAGGTATACTAACTCAAACACCTCAGGCCATTCAACGACAACACTTGAGGTAAAGTTAAACACTTTAAATTCATAGCAAATATGTTAACATGATATTACACTTACATTTTCATCTTTTACTTGAAAAAATTCAGGCTGCAACGAAGGCCAAGAGTTGATGACAGAGATTAATGGACTTAACAGATAAGTAACAGAATATATCATTACATGTATTTCAAAATTTTCTATGTGTTTGATTTCATTCGAATAACCCAATCTACTTTATATGCAGAAAATATCCAGTCAATGAAGTGCAAATGCTGAAAACAACAGAAAAAGGTACTAAGTTGTATGTTAATAAATTTCAATCATAGACAGATACATAAGTCCTCATGTACCATCTTGTGTGTCTTGTTCTTTGCTGCGTTTGCTTGATACTTTGTTATATCCAACTGACAATCTCTTCATGCTGCTTCAGTTGTTGGGTAAAAAACGTTTTTTGGTTAAAATTTCTTTGCAAGATGTTGTCTGATGTGTTTGGTTGGGTAGAAAATTTGGTTGCTTACAAAAATTATGAAGATGGGTATTTTTTGGGACTCCTTGTAAAACAGATTGGTCAAAATCATTGATGGGTTGGGGTTTATATACTAAGTTTATTTGGCTTGCAAAGAATCAGTTTTTGAAGTTAATGTGTAATTTAATTCAATTGCTTATATCAAGGAATTCTTTCTTAAAGGCAGGTACTTGGTATAGGAAATATATTTACTGCTGAATTATTACATAGGAGTGAAATAAGTACTGAAATAAATAGGAGATAAATCTTTATATATTTTATTATTATTATATCTATTATGTGTCATATATTTATATTTATGTTATATGTGAATGACAGAAATATAATTATAATTGGCTGAAGGGATTTTTTTTTGATAAAGAATGTTTTGAACACAAAATAAATATGCATGGCTGTGGTGTTTTATTCAGTTTCTGTTTTACTTAAAAAACATTCTGAACATTGAAAAAATGCTCGGGTTTAGGTCTTTTATGTTTGATTAAGTATTCAGATTTTACCTTTAATAACATGATTGGCTGAAATTTTTTTACGGTTGAATAAGTATTCAGATTTTAAGTTCTCGGAAATGCTTGGATGAGGGTGTTTGATGTTTATTAAGTATTCAGATTCTAATTCAGTAGATGCTTTGTGTTTGCTGTTTTTATTGGAGAAAATACTATGCTTTCTTAGAACTTGATGTTAAAATTGTACATTCTGTTTTTGCCCAGCACTTATATGATTGTTTTTTAGTTTACTCAGTAAGTGCTAAATGATTATTAGTAAATTAATATTCATTCATTCTGTTGCTATGTTGTAGTAAGACTGAACAAATTAATTAGCTTTGTTTTTAAAGGCATGATTATATGTTTTTGATGGCATTATTATATGTTGAACACATCTTGATTTTGTTTGTGTTTTGATGTTTAAATTGTACTTTCTTGGTACTATTTTGATGTTATGTGTTAAATGATTAAGTGCTAAATGATCATACCTGATGTTTTTATTTCTTGGTGCTGTTTTGCTGTTATGATTAGATAGTTTATAACACTATTTTGATATAGATTTTTGCTTTATAAAACTTGTATAATCTGATGAAGTTAATTGCTTACTAATGGATCTTTTTTGAATGTTTTTATTCGAGTAAAAAATGATGAATTGATTAAGCTATTTGCTTTAGAATACTGATATTTTGTTTATTTCATTTGTTGATTAATTTAGTTGTTTTGTTGTTTTGGATAGAGAAAACATCCTGTTGATATGTTGTTGTATGACTGATTAATATTATGACTGAATATAGTTTAAGTAATTGAATAGCAAAAACATTAACAAATAGGAAGCAGGAATATTTATTAATGGAATTTCTTGTAATTGCGATAAGAATACAGAATCATAATTGAAGCTGTTTTTGAAATTGCTAAGCACACAGATTTTTTTCCAACATTTCAAAATTTT